AAAACAATCTTCTGGAGTCAGACAGTTGACCAGCTGCAATAAATTTTGTTTGCATCTGAACTTGTAGGAAGAGAACAGCAGCTGACTCTGGAGGAGGTCACTACACCATCTTCATGGTGTATTTTTGGTATAAGTGGAACTTTAAAGGCATTTTATAATTTAATTGGAAATTAAAATATTCATTGTATATAATAAGTTACAGATAGCTAATTAAATTGGATATTAGGTTTGATTAATTTTAATATGTGCTCATATTGCAGAACACTATCAGAAAATATTTCTACATTACAGAATATGGTATAGAAATGCCAATCCACTGAGACAAGTGAAAAATCATAACTGGTCAAGGAAGGAGCCACAAGTAAAGAGTTTCTTCTCCTACACTGTAATTCCATATAGTTACCTGTATCCCATCAGGGGAACGTGGCAATGCAAACCATGGACCCTGACAGTTGGCACAAATAAATGTTATTTAGGAAAGGAATGACATTTCCTAGTGGAACAGACAAACTTGTCTTTTCAACTGCTCCCGATTCAGCCCAGAACTTTGCTGAGCCTTTTTCTAGAGGAGTTTGTCACCCTGATATGCAGATGACCTACTCTGTATTTTTCAAAGTAGGTGCACAGGAGTCCTACAATCTCTTATTCTGTAAGATCAGCAATATAATCTGAAAACCTGAAGAACACAAACAGGCTGAGAAGGACAACAAAGGGTTCACAGAACAATGAGTTTTCTCCCAAGAGCAGCCAGGGACATTGCACAGGACCTGGGAAAGAAACCTGTCTGAGGCAGGAGTAGGAGCCTAGACCTTCAAGGTGGCTGTCACAGCATCTCTGCTACACCCCAAAATCCAGACAGGAAACCAGGCCAGAACACAACCCCTCAATTTTAAAATTTTAGTTAGGTTAAAGAAACTCAGAAAGAAGATAAAGGCATGTCTACATTTGGAGAATACTAAAAAAACCAAAGGGGGACATGCAGGACACGGGACAGGACGGTGAGTCAGTGTTCATTTTGTTTGACATCCACACGGACAGGCAATGTGACTTAGTCACAAATGATAATAAAAATGTGGCTCTATTTTCTCCTTCCAGACACCAACATTACCAGTCGGTGCCACTGTGTTAGTCCACAGTGACCAGTGACATCAACAAATATCCACCTTCAGCTGGTTTGCCATCGAGCTTTCAACTCTGAATAGCTGCTGATGTAAACTGAAGACTGTGCAGTTATATAAAGTAACGTAACCAAAATACCAGCCTAAAAGTTGTATTAAAAAACATTTTTGGCACATCCTAAAAATATCCTGCAACAATAAAAACATTAGGAATTATTTATTTTTTTTAAATCAACCTTCAGTGTTTACTTCGAAATTCACATCCATAATACTCAGGTTAGTTTTTCAAGGTGTATTTTAAAAATAGTGTTAGTATCTGGAAGTGATTTTCCCTAACACTACACTTACATAAGATAAACATAAAGTACTTACACCACTCCCAGCATATCGAACAATAAATAATAGATTCTCCTGACAGGACTTTGATGACCTGGCAAAGCCCGAGTGCTTTCAGCCAAAATCATATGAAACCATAAATCACTCTTTATTTTATAGAATATTTCAAAATGGATTCCTGCTTTCTACCTTGAAAGTCATTTCATGTGTTATTTATAACCACTGAAAACCAGAATGGAAAGAAAATTGCATAGAACTAGAAAATTTACTGACTGCTTTTATAAAAAATAACTCCTTTTTAGAAAAAAATTAGAATTACTGGCAGACAAACTTGTGAATACAACACCTTTTAAAGAGCCATATCCTCTACAACTTGCCCAGCAGTCATGCAGGCCTTGTGGAGCATCAGAGACAAGTTTAAGTCAAGACTGAATACAGCCAATGAACTGAAGAAATCCCAAGGTAAGGATGACCCTGCACCTGTATCCACAGCACAGGGCACGGTCACATTGCAAATCTTTGCACTTACAGGAGCTTCTGCCCCAAATTCAGTGTTGCTGAATGCTTTGCCTATGAATTCTCCTATTTGACAACTTCAACAATGAACCCCCTTAACTGAACATGACTAATGCCCACCTTGAATTCCCAAATCCCAACTTGGATCCTACAGGCTTTTAGACAATAAAAATCAACAAGCATCAATTCACAAAAAAGAGGTTCCATTTGCATTAAGCTTCCTACATTAGAACAGCTAAATGAGCCTGAAATAAAATTCAAATCTAACCTTACCACTCAATCTAATTACTAAAATTAACAGATGTACAAATTACAAAACCAGGAAAAGGCCACACATGCAAAAAAGAATGCAATTACTACCATGCATTAAAAATACCATTAACACAAAGGTTCTAGTTATTACATTTGACAATTAAATATCCACAGGTACACTCAGCACTGGTTACAGCATTGCAAAACACAGTTGAAGACTAGGGTAAGATATTCCCTCAGGAGTCACTTCCCAAAGAGAAGACAGATGAAAGTTTTACCCTAAATAATCTTCCATACTGAGTTATTTAATAGAGATTTTAAAAACACCAGTCAGTCAACAGTGTTAATCACCATTTATATATGTTCTGAGTAAAAAGGAATGCAGAGAAAAGGCAAAACAATTCCTAAAATGCAAAATTCTGAAAATCTTGAGACTGGTTACAGCAAAACTCTCTACAGGTGGGCAAAAAGTCATCTCTGAATACCAGTGGCTAAAATAGCTGAATAGCTTAACATAAACTGTATAAACCTTTGAGTTTCTGCATCATGTACATAAACACTGTTTATTTCATAGCAGTAAAGAAAGGATTATCCTCAAAAATCACAGAAATTATGCAATTTTTAATATTATACCCTCACAGTTTGATACTTTAGCTTTTCATTATTAACTATTCTTCCCATACAGCCAAAATACTCACAAATCTGTAGACATATGAAAATTTCAGGCTCATAATTAGGGCTTCCACTCCATACAAGAGGGTTAAGAGCACAGAAGGGATCTCCTCATTTGCTCAACAGCCTTAATTTTGCATTTTTAGTAGAGTTATGGTCAACAATGGGGCAATATGTTTTCTTAACTCTCAGAAACTCCATAAATAAATCAGAAATCCTTTAAGCAATTACACAAACACTGCACAGGAATTGCTTTCTTTTCTGCTAAACACTGAAATTACAATAAGAAACCCACTCATTCTATTCCAAATGACTGGAAATCTTAAATCCCAAGGACACAATCTGACAGATTAGTGGACTCCAAAAACAGAGTTGCTGATGTCACATGGAAAACAAGAATATTTAGAAGTGTCTTCCCATTTGTGCTCCAACCAACACCCTGAGCTCTTCACAAAGGCAAACAAAATCCAGGTGTAAATTTGGGACCTACAAACAGTGGTCATTTGGAGCATTTTAAGATTAGATTAGAGCTCAATGCTGAATTTAAGGTGGGTGGCTTATCAAGACCAGTCTTAACCAGGTCACTGTCACTGGGTCCTACACACAGAAATCTATTTCCATACATATAAATTATTTCAATCCACAAGCAGCAAGAATCCTACTTCTCAAGGAGCATTTTAAAATTTCCCTAGTAGTTACACTGTGGTTTGTTTCAGTGAGACATTCCAGGTCTCCATCATTATTGACCTGATATTGTACAGGATATAAAATGTGCAGGAAGTTCAAAATAAAGGTGTGTGCAATCGTTCATAGACTAAAAAATATGCTTTAATGAGAAAGACTAACATTTTTTTTGTTACTTTAAAGCACGCATAGAGATTGGAAAAAAAAATTAAGTATGAAAGTTCTTGTATTGTAGGATACGATTAAAAAAACATATTATCAGCACATACCACCTATACTGCAACGAGATGGGGTTTAGCTCTTCAGAGCTGTTTTCAGCTCACAAAAGCAAACCTGCCCAGCAGGACGGTGTTCCGGGAAAAAGGGCTGGCAGGGGAGGCAGAGTCAGTCAGACAAGGCTTTCTGAGGCACTGAAGGAGCCCCCGGCTCAGGTGCGCGGGGCACGGGCGAGTGCCCGCTCCCAGGGCCGGGGGTCGCATACAGACAGCCCCACTCGCACCTCCGCCGCACCTCTATTGCTAAGCACAGCTGGGCACTTACGTGTTATCAGCAACCCTGGGGCGGGCTGCGATTGCCGGGGACGCTGTGAGGGCGGCTGTCCCCGCAGCTGTCCCCGCAGGCACCTCGGCAGCGCTCGCAGCCCCAGAGCCCCCAGCCCGCCCTGCCCAGACACCGCTGCCTCCCCTCAGCCTCCAGCTCCGCCCGCGTCCCCCTCCGCCGCCCCCTCGGCGACACGGCCGAGGGGCCGTGCGGGCGCTGCCCCCCGGGCCCGTCCCGTGCCGTCCCGTACCGGTGCCCAGCACCACCACCTCGAACTCCGAGGGCAGGTTGTCCGCCATCTTGGAGCCGCCGTCACGCGGCGCCGGCGGAAGGGGCGGGGCCGGCACCGGGGGGTTCCGGGGCCGCGGCGGGGGCGGGGCCGGCCCTGAGGGAGCGGCCCCGAGGGAGGGGCCCGGCACCGCCCTCACGGCACCGCCCTCACGGACCCGCGGCGCGCTCCTGCCAGCCCCGAGAGCCCCTACCACCCCTCAGCCCCTCGGCCTCGCCGTCCCTCCCATTCCTCGCCCCTCTGCTGTTCTCCTCATCCGCAGAACGAGCCTTTACCTGGGATACAGGGATGTCGCGGGACGCGGCGGTGAAGGCACGCGAGCTCCGATCATCCATGAGTAAACTCCGCAAATACAACCATACGGCGGCATTCCCCCTGCTTGGCCAAATGCAAGACAATTCAGTGCAAACACCCGTATTTTTTAATGATTTACGGGTCGATTATTGGGAAGAAATTCTTCATTGGGAAGGAATTGTTCCCTGTGAGGGTGGGGAGGCCCTGGCACAGGTTGCCCAGAGAAGCTGTGGCTGCCCCATCCCTGGAAGTGTCCAAGGCCAGGTTGGACGGGGCTTGGAGCAACCTGGTCTAGTGGAAGGTGTCCCTGCCCATGGCAGAGGGTGGGACTGGATGGGCTTTAAGGTCCTTCCCACCCAGACCATCCTGTGATTTTGTGAATTCCACTGAAGTTTCTTAGATAACCAGTTCTTCAGAGACAACAGATGTCACTTTTCTTATTTCCCCTGCAAATGCGCTGTTTCCAAAACAATTCCTATTGTTTCTTCAATCTCATTGCTTAGTGCTTTTTATTAATATATCCAAGAAAGTATTTCCCTCATTATTTTAAAAAGTTCCCTTACTCCTCAACTGCAATATTTTTTTTCCTTTAGCCACCACGTTGAATGCAGATTTAAAAAGTGCATGAAGTTATTAGTGTATTAGTTAAAAAGTGAGTCATTAATCTAACGCCCTTTCTTGTTAATTAACAGCCATATTGTATGTTTGATTGTACTATGTTCTCTGTGTGCAAAACCCTCTCTATTTTTCTCAATGCACCAATTAACTCATTTTTAATTTCCCTCTAAAGCCCAAAATAGCACTTTACCTCCTCCTGCACCTTACAAAGAAAAGAAGCTGGAATCTTGAATGAAATCCAGGATCTACTGGTCCAGAGTAACTCCTCCTGTATTACTACTCTGAGTGAAAGAACAGCAAGTATAAAACCAAATATTTGAAAAACCCATACAGCAATGTAGGCAGAACACCTGTGCCAGAATACTCTGGAAATTTCTGGAAAGTTTTGCTTTTTATTTTGCATTTAATGGCTTATATGGCTTTAAACTAATCTCTTGACGTTATTCATTGTGTATGATTATATTAAAGTCTTAACACCTTAAATCAATAATAACAATAAACCAGCTAGCAGCCTGTTAACACCTTATTACAAGCTCCTTGTTCACATAGCAAAAGAATAGTGAAAATAGTATAAAGTGACTAATGGAAACCAGAGCCCACCTTTACCCCCACGGAACTGCCAGACCTGCTAGAGCAGAGTCAGCACAGAAAATGGTCTAGCAGGAAACACCAAACAACAGAAGAACAAAAAATATATAGATTTAAACATCAGTGCTTCATTACTACACCGAGAAATATATAACAGAGAAAATGAGTGGCTATTAATTCAGATAGGAGTAAGATCAAATCTTATATTTCTTATATTTATGCTTTCAATTGTCCCACAGAGATTTTGATTCAAACTTCCATTCTGCAATTCTGTGAATGGAGCTGTCATTTCTACTTTTCAACCTGCAACACGGAAATTTAGCTCCAGAATTCTCACAGGGCTGGATCATCCTGACCTAAATGTCTTGTGTTCAGGAACAAAGCATCACTATATTGGTTAGATCAGATAAGCCAAATTCCCCTTGCACATCCTTTTCCTGCTGAGGGAAGGCACACTCATGAAAATATAACATCATCGTGAAACCCTTTTGTTATTGTTTAACATAACTCTAGGACTGCGCTGGAGCACAGCTATTTCACTGTCAATGTCTTACTGTTTCTCAAGTGCTTAAGTATTTATCCCACCACAAAATGCTGTTGTTTGGTGCTGTGAGTTCCTGGGAGCTTCATTCATAAGATGCAATCAGTGCAATCCTATTTCATGATGACAGTCATTATCCACTGGACCAGAAATCCTCCTTAGTACTATTTATTTGACAAAAATGATTATTCAGGATCTTTAACCGCCAGGTTTGTCAGTCCCACACAACACAAAAATATTTCTCTGTACTTTTACAGTTTTAATATCTGCAAATGTAGAAGTGAAATACGTAAGTATGAATAATTTTTATGAGAATTTCATGGACCTTGAGAAAATGTCTTGCCATGTTTTTCTCTTTAGCTATTTAATTGCAATGTCATATTAACAGAAAGCAGCATACCCAATTCTGCATGGATGAATAAACACATTCAATAAAGAAGATTTAACAGAGTAAATCAAACACTGGATTAAACATTTTCTGCATAACAGACCACAAAATGGGCATTCATTTTACCAATAGATCCTCTACATTAGAAACAAATAGAAATGCACACCAACATAATTAAACTGCACATCCTGTGGCCTGATTACTGAATTTCCCTGTATTTTGTTAAACTAGGTCTCATCAATTAGAATTGCCAAAATGCATTCCAAAATGCATACAGAAAAACTAAATGTAATTCTTTTAACCATTTGTATTCAATATATTTTCCCCTATGTTTTATGAAGTAATTCACAATCCTATATATTGAGGGGGATTTATACAGCGTTTTTAGCAAAAACAATTCAGGAGGACACATAAAAGGATCAATTTTAAGATTCCATTTTCAGCAGTTCTAAATACTTTTTCTGTGAGCAACTCTTCCTACTTTGATTTCCAGCAAAACATCTCTCCTAAAAATATGGTGGTTTGCTTTATAACTTTTATTTGGGATTTTCACATAGTCATAGAAGTACCTCTGTTACTTTAAAGCCTGTGTAGTTAACATTTACCTCTGTCAAAATGCATTTCAGAAATGTAGTGATCTGAGCAAAACCTCATGTTTTTATGTTCCTAGGGAGAAACACTGAAGCTCGAAAGAAAATCAGCAAGAATCAGCATTAGAATGATGGAGTTTCCAGTTATTTCGAGATCTAGTCTCAGATCATTTGATCAAATGTGTCTCCCTCCAAAAACAAACAGCAAATGCTTCATATTCCCTATGATGAATTTTAATTTTTTGGCGTTACAGCCTCTTTATCCTGCGGTGACTTCACGTGTGAAATCTCATTATTCATTCTATTATTCCCTCAATGGCTACAGAATTTAATTCTACTCGAGTACCAGTTTGAATAAGGATCAGCAGCAGGATCGGGCCTATTAGCTGCTTGAAACATCTCGTGAATAACCCGATTTATCCCAACCAAATGGCTCATTAGTTCGGGCAGCAGGGAAATGTTTGTGTGTTGCTGCAGTTCTGCGTGGTTTTCATATGGAGTTTGCAGTTATACGACTGCTCAAGCATGAACCAACTGGATTGTTCATTAACCACAGGAACAGCCACTCTGTGCTCAAGCATGTTTAGCAAAAAATTAGTTGTTTCCAAATTTAGTCCAAACTCCCAGACACCTTTATTCTATCTCCTCCTTGGTTACCACTATCTGAGTTTTTCTCTCTTCCTGTAGTTAGTCCTGATCGTGCCCTCAAATCTTATCTTTTATTAATGGCATTAGACCCTAAGGTACAAATTCTCAGTGAGATGGAGATATTCAGTTCCCATGGATGGGATGAATATTCCTCTGATACAGTCATCTTGGCCTTGGTACATCAGTTAACTGAACAGAGCTTAAAAACTCTGAATAATAAACCCACATTCTCTACCTAAGGAGCACTGGAACTAATGTTGAAGTTGCCCTTTTGATTACTAAGATGTGGGTAAATTATAGGATTGTTTAGGGAGATGGGGAAAGAGTTACACGTCACTTGACTTCTGTAAGCAGGCGAGGCAAGGAGTCTATTTTTCCAACCTTTAATTAATGACAATCTGCAACAATTCTGCAGGTCTCTCATGGCAGTCAAAACTTTCTTGTACAAAATGAACACAGAGGAGAGAAAAAACAGGATCATGGCTTTGATCAGGCTGCTCTGCCCAGCCTGGATGGCAGAGGATGGAAAGAAAGCTCCACTCCAGCTAAATTGAGAATTACCAATGAGTTTTCCAGGTCTCCAAGTCTCCTAAAACTACAGATGTGCAGGATGAAGGAGATTGTCTTTGCAGCAGCCTCAAAATGCAGGGGGTTTTTTATGCTACAGGGTAATCTTTAATCTTAAAATAGCTGATGAACCTTGGATGACTAATATGCTGCAGTTTTCATTGCTTGTCTCTCAGAGACGTGGAGGAAAACTTACTTTAGGAATTGGAGACATGGAGAACTACTGGTGGTAGAATCAGACTGCATCTTGATTTACAGTGAGCTAACCCCATGTTATTATGTACATTATATAGGGTCAGTCATGGGTTTATTTGGCTTGATTACTTCTCTTGTAGTGGTCACTAAAATAATGACCACAGTTGACCCTCTAAGGATTTAAAGTATAAACTCTCAGAGAATAAATGCATTTTGTATATGTATCAAAGAATGGTTATATGGCTAAATTACACGTTACAAGCTTGGCTTTTCTAAATACTCTTAATAACCAATCTCTTCTGTTTCTTCTCACCTACTGAAAACGACAGCATTATAACAGAATGTGGTATCCATAACAGCAGTATAAATTGGGAGGAATTACTGAAATTATGCCATTGTAAACCAGGATGCTACAAAACAGTTTAATGCTTTCTGTCCTTGCAATTCCATGATTTGTATATTCCAGCATCTAAAAGTCTTGGTCAATCATGGTATTTCTGCAATTGCCAGTAAACACCAGAAAAAAGAAATGGATTGGATGTATGGGACTGCTGTATAAGGTTGGGCAATAAATCAAGATTGATTAAGATTTAATCAAGATTAAGTAAAGATGGACAAGTGTGTCTCATGATATTCATTTACTACTCTATTTAATTTACAATATTACATGGGGCAGTTTTATTGCATAGTAAGGTTTTCATACTTGTGCTTTCCAGGTTTGGGAAAACTGTACCTTTTCCAGCACATCTGGAGACTGTGGCTTATGTAAGAAACTAATCTCTTTTCTCTGGAACTATTCCTGTTCTTCTTCATATTGCATTTCTTTTATTCATTTCTCTTGACTTGTTGCCAGTTTATGGATACAGATCCTTTAGCCATTTAGCTTCCTACTTCATTCCAGTCAGCACAAGTTTTACCATGCAAAGTTCAGCCTCTACATCCTGGTCTTTTCTGATTGTTTAACCAACAATAATTACAGTTGGAGATGAAATGTATGTTGCTTTAAACAAGAGAGAGGAGTAATTATCTCATTTCACTGTATATTTAAAATGTGCCCATAGAGATATTGAAAAAAAAAAAACAGGAATTGATCTGAGAGATGGATGATGGAGCAGAGGAAGCAAAAAAACCCCAACCAACCACAGAGTGGAAGGTTGTAGTTCCCTATTTGAGGAGAATGACAAGTGCAAGATTTTTTAGTAATTTTTTAAAAAGCAGTATTCTCAAGTCTTGAAAATCATAAATGGCACCTGGCTAAAATTAAAAGACAAGATAAACCAAGACTTTAGGTTCTGAAACTGATAAAGATCCCTTAGGAAACTCCCCATAAATATTCTCATATAATTAAAGGGGTTTAAAGTAGTCCATAAAGCCATGTGAATTGATGTGTCTCACATGCAGTATTTTTACCTAGACTTCACCAGAGAAACCATAAACAAAAGACTATAAAGGCCTCGGATGAAATGAGTTCTTGCCAGCTCAGATTCTTGTGAAGACACATGTCACCAAGGACCCAAACACGAAACTGTATCCGAGAGACATCCAAAAGTTAGGAGGGAGTAACAGCCAGGGACTGACTTTCAGGTGAGGCAGAGTATCAGTGATGACACTAAGTTAAAAGAGGAAGTATAATGACTGCATTTGAAATTCTGTAAGCAGGTGGATAAATTGATAAAGCAAACATTATTCTTACTTTGAGAAGGTCTGTGCTTGAGGTTGATTTGCCTCAGTCCCAATGCACTGGGTCTGCCACTGCTCCACTTAGAGCTCTGCATAAGAGCAAAGACTTAGTTTGGGCTTTGCAGCTGCGGTGGTGGAAACAAATGCCACACTGCATGTATGTGTGATGCTTCTGAGAGTTCAGGATGGACACTTATGATTTAACATCCATTTTTCATTAATCCAAACATAGCACACTCCATTTAAATGCTGCCTTTCCTTGTGCAGAAGAGTTCCACGTCGCACTTACTGAACTTCAATTAAACTGTACATGTCTAGGCAAAGAATGCTCCTACTGCAAACACTGTGTGGGCCACCTATATTAAAGCATTGGAAGTTTTTTAAGATGTTTGTGTTTTAATCTGTTTTCAGGAGATGATGGACCTGAGCATTGTAGCATAACTGCAACCTGACTGTCAACCCCACTGCCTTGATAACAGGCTATTCTCCAGGTTGTGTGTTACTAGAGCGATATTGTGTAAAATGAAAACAATAAGAAGTCAAATCTTGTAGTGTGAGTGAGAATTTTAGGTTTGAATGTGACAAATCATGGTGCATAGTACTCAATAGAAGGCTTTTTTTGTTTGTTTGTTTAGTCTTAGCATGATCTTTTTAGGGTAAGATGTTGGCTTGGTCACTGTCACAGATCACAGACCCACACAATACAGTACAGCTCTTTGATAAGGCAATTTCTCCAGCAGCAGAACAGCTATTCCTGTTCCTGTTGCTATTCCTACAACCACCTCCCTCAACCATTCTGCACCACAGACTCTCTGAGGGCAGCCAGGAGACTTTGAGCCATTCCACTTCACTTCTGCTCTGTGCCTGAAGGGACTCAGATCCCAGAAGGCAGAACAATCGGGAGCACAGTGTCCACTCCCCCTTTTTGCACCCACTTAGCACCTTATGAGCAGCACTTCCTCTTCAGTTTGATTAGGTAGATAAAACAATAGGCTGTAGCTCCTCACACTTGGAGGGTGCAATCTGAATATTAATTCCAGATAGTTGATGTGGACCCTCATATCGACCCTTCCCTTAAGCCAGAAGAGACAGAATTCCCCCCCACACCTCAGAAGAATGCTGTGCTGTTGTAAATGTTGAGGCAGATTATTAGGAAGATTTGCAAGAATAACTATTTAAAATGGTCACATTCATTTTAAAGAAAAGAAATATAATTGGTATTTGCATAGAAGAAAATGGATGAATTTAAATTTTAGTTGATTATAATTATTGTCATCATAATCATCATCATTATCTTTGTATGTCTAAATGACTGATTCAAAGAAGAATTTTTAACACATTTCACATGTCAGTGCAATTCTTTTCTGTTTTGTGCTTTACTGCTTGGGGTTTTTCATTTGCTTTTTTCAGTCTGAACTTTCCATGGAAGCTATTGTAATTTTCTTAAAAGGTGGAAAAATGTTTCAAAAGAAGTCAAATCTAGAAATACTACATAGGTACATTTTCTTTTTTTCAATGAAACTTCATCAAACTGTACAGAAAACCTGTGGATAGATATTGTGGGATGACACTTTGAAATGGTCCTAAGAAAGAGATTATTAATAGCGAGGTGCTACCTAAATCTGGCCTTTTTAACCAGACAAGGGAGGTGAAACTGGGACAGTTGCCTACAGATTAGTAGGTGAACTCATTTAAGTGGTAGTGAATCCAGATGAGGATATCACTCAACAAGTCTGTTAATAAACTGGACCTGTAGGTAGACATCGAGCTCCTAAAGGTTCTCAAAGTTACTAATAGTTTGTTATTTCAGTACTGTGTATAGTGATACAGCTGATATTCTGTATTCCCTGTTAATGCTGCTACAGTAAAACCTGTGTGTTCAGTAGTAAATCTATATTGTGTGAGTTTATCAGGATTGGCAATTATGAAGGGTTCAGATCCACAATATCTGTTGGTGAAAGCAGTTTCTTTTTTACTGAGCACCACATCAAACCCGAGATGAGCAATCAGGACTACAAAGGCCTTATACTGAGCATAGCAAAAAAAGTGTCATAATTCTCATTTCCCTGATGGCTTTGAAATGACTATGAAAAGCATTTTGCAACAGAGGGATCATCATAGCTGGTGTGATAGCTGCAATTCCTGATACCTGGCATCTGTCACAAACAGGGCTTCATCTTCCATAACTTCACCTTTAGCATGAGTTCTATTTTATTTGGTTCCTTTGCTCTTCCATAAGGGCTACTGAGCCAAGTGTTAAAATCCTGTGTCTGCCCAGGGCTACTGTGCCTTGTGGAAACAATTGCTCCCTGCAGTCTTGCAGAAGGCAGTTCCCTGATAGTCTGTTTTCACATGGTTTCCTATGTGACAAGGAATTCCCTAAATAGGAATAGGGAATATATAACCTAGTGGAAGCCTTATTTGCTTTTTAAATAAAATGATGATGTCTTCTTTCTTATTTTCTTGGGATGAATAGAAGCTGTTCATGCCACTACACAGAAAGACAGGAGCAACTCTTAAAAAACCCGCTTTGAGCTGTAAATACTCACAGATTAGATGTCTCTGTCCAAGATACAGACTAAGGGAGAACCTGTAGTAAGGATTTCCCTGAAGTGCCTGTTAGAAGGACTGACAACTGATGAGTTGCAGCACAGCTACCCAACACCTTTGGCCAAAAGACAGACTTTGAAGTTTTGAGAGTCTTCTGTTTCCTTGCTATGTCCAGGAATTTGAATTTTTAACATCCACTTTGTATAGAAAAGGATTGCACCGCAAGATACTGGGTTCAGATGAGTTTCTCTTAATGGGAAATATAAACCCCAGGATTCCTGGCTAACTTCATGCACTGAAGTGACAACAATGTGCTCAATCAACATTAATTATTAAAGTAGCAAGGCAAATTGGTGTCTGAAGTTCTGTCACTCCAAACAAAAACATTTTTTTTTTGATTTTCAACAGTTTTCTTTGATTCTTTTGCTTATATCAAATTAAACACTGTCTAAAATATAAAAGAACTCACAGTCCAAATTTTTTTTTGTATTTAAAACTATATCAGACATTTACATTTTAGGAAAAAAATATTTACATTCCAAGGTCTGTATTAAACTGTGCTCTATTTTATATTTGTAGACTTTGTGGAATTAAAAAAATAGGGAAGATCTTGTCATAGTATATTTAAAATAATAATAGAGATAATGGAACCAAGTGCTAAAACATCCCTTTAGAAAAAAATTTGAATAAATACTTTTGCTTTACAGTCTTCCCCAGTGCAAAATACTCTAAAATTCATAATACAGATCTAGTAGTGGTCTCACAGGGCACTAAGAGGTTTTGGCATTGTAAATATCAGTAAGGAGAATTTTTAAAAACTCAGACTACAGGAGGGTTATGCATTAAATAATTAAGATCACAGGTGTTCCAACCTGTACTTTAAATTTATGGCTTGATCATCCTTACGCCTCCACAAGTCACCAGTAATTCCATCAGAAAGTCAATGAAGTTAAAGCATATAAATCCAGGTTTATTCCATATTTCTATGTAGGTTATCAATGTGTGTCACATCAAACTTGATGGGAAAGTAAGGAAGAGGAAAAGGGTTGATAAAGTCAATGTTGCCTGGAGATGAAGAGAGACACTTCTTTTCATGTGACTGTTTTCCACTTTATCCAAAAGTCCACAGAACATACTGAGAGTGATTTTGAGACACGGAGATTGGTCAAGTTAAAACCAAAACCTGCTCTTAAATATTTAACTCTGCTCTCACTCTGTGTTCCTGTGACTGAGACTCAGCCTCAGTTCTGCCGTGGGTTCAGCCTCTGCAGGTGGGGCTTTGGAACGGGGCTGAAACAGCTGCGTGAGTGCCCAGTGAGGGCTGTCCCTGCTGGAGAGAAATGTGCAGTATCCTGTGGCTGACTCCACTAAATATTTACTTTTATGTATAAAAACAAACAAACGTTACGTTCACTACGTTTTCTCCAGCATGTGAAAAATTCTGACTGAGAGCTGGCAGACAGTGGCAGTGAGGGCTCAGGACCAGGGTCACTCTTTGGGGAGTTCACAAAGAGATGAGGAATCTGAGGGAGAGGCTTTTGCAAAGTCTGGGTGAAGTCAGGAGTGGGCAGTTGTACAGATCAGGGCCTGTACCTGTCCCTGCACATCCCAGACTGACCTCTGAACTCCCCACACATCCTGTACCTCTTACTCAGGCAGCATTTTGCTCCTGTGAGGGAGAACATCCTGGACTTGATCAACTGCAAACAGCATCCCAAACAAAAGGGTTTACAATTTTTTAAATTTGCATTCTAAATTAAATACTTCAAACCTTCTCAGGCACATGGTTTAGGGATCAAAGGGCCAAACTGCCATTTACTACCTCAACCAGTTTGGACCAGTTCCATTGATTTTACTCAGAACTCCAGATGGATTTCAGTAAGAATTGGCAGCACAGATTGATATTATGTTATGGCTTTCAGAAGAAAGGTACCGTTTCAAAAGACAGCATCATAAAATTGATGTACAAAGCAAAATACCCATTGATCCCCATTTCTGTCGATAAGATTTCTATAACTTGAGGATAGTAAAACATTGAAATGTGTAGTTGCATCCAAGGCAAAAATACCATTCACTTCCATGGAAACAGAATCAGGCTCAAATCCTGAATACTAAGATATTATCTGTGTGAGGAAGTATTTAATTTTTTATTATTGCATTACTGGTTTAGATATAAAAACCAAAAATACCTATAGAATTTCAAAATATAGTGATTTCTTAATATTTACTCTCATGCTTATAAAAGACCTGGACTCCTGAATGTTGTAAATCAATTATCCCTGTGTGTGTGAAATGCTGTAACAAGATCAATGAGACCTGAACACAAGGAGGCATCTTAGGATAACAGCTGCAGATGCACACATTCCCTGGTAAAAAATAAATGAACACACACTGCTCACCCCGATGCTTCTCCCTCCCCCCCAGAAAATCCCTGCCATTATCCTGCCCATCTGTAAATGCATAAAGGAAAACCAAATAAGAGCAGGGAGCAGTCAGTGTATCAGCACAAGCAAAGTACAATAAATGGTCACTCTTAGATCAAGGTGAAAGGAATGCTGTGCATTCAGGTTGGAAGTTTGGCTTTGATGGGACTTAATGGTCAGACTCTACTTCCAACCAAATGCTGTGCAGTTAATGGCTCTATGGAAAACTGCAAGGATGGATCTTTACTGTCTAAAATACATATTGGTTTTAAAGATGAGCTCAAGATAATTACTTTCACAGTATGAATAATTCTGCCAATTGCATTTTCACAAAGTAGATTCAATAAAATACTGAAAATATTTATTCAATAAATCAATTACACTTCTTTGGAGCCTGGATAGCTATAAATTGTTTCCTCATTGATACAATTCTGTTTACAAAAACCTACTTTCAGGGAAACGACTCTTAAGTTTTTTATTGGAAAATGCTTTGCAGTTAAAACAGAAGAATGAGAATTAATGAAAAGTCCACATGAGCCTTATGTATAAATATACAAAAAAAATAGATTTTTTTTTTGGTTACTTGAAGTAGAATGTGATGTCCATGTTTAAAAATACCAAAAAAATGTGAAGAAAATTAAATACCTTCTTGTCCCACTAGATGGTGGTGCCTTCAGATTAGGGCTCAAACAGACAGAGCAGGAAAACTTTTGCTTTCCTTAGCTGACCTGCAAATGTAGAGAGTGAGAGATGAGGATAATCTTGTTCCTCTGGGGATAGTATTTGGGTGTAATGACTTACTGAATATATTGGAGTACATGGAATTGTGTTCACAGTGGTTTGCTATAAAGTGTGTTTTAACTTCAATACACATCTAATAGTATTAATTTTTCTTCCTGAAGAAGGAAAGATGCAAACAACATTGAACCTTAATGATGATTGTATCTCATGTAAAACAGCCCTGTTACACCAAGGTCCTGCCTTTGCAATTTTGCTGCCCTCTATCCTCAATCAAAATCCAGATTAAAGTAGGGAATCATTAGCAACAACTGCATCTTGTACTCATGTATTTCATTGGAACAAGCTTAAAATTACCGCTCCCATTTTTATACGACAAATGGACTCCTTGCTTTCAGGGAAAGGCATTTTCACATCGGTTAGACAAAAAGCGATGGTGTCTAAGGCTGGCAGGTCACCCCTCCTCAGTGAGAACAGCCAAGGGAAGTTTTAATGAATGGGCAAAGTAGATGGGACCTTGTTTGAGAGTCATGGCTGTGCTTTAGTTATCTCAGGTTCCTGTAGTAAACAGTCCAATCCTTCCTGCCTCATGGAAAGCTTGAACTGTGAGCTCAGGGCAGTTCTGTGAACTGAGAACTTGTCTCAAAGGCTGTGTCTGTGGAGGACTGTTGAGGACTTAAATGTCATGATGTACATTGGTAGTATGAAAAATTTAAGATTAAAATTAAGGGCTGCTTTATGGATGAATTACTCTGGTCAGATAAGCTCTAACATGAGACTTTCCAATTGTTCTTTTAAAAGATGACGTAATGGTACAGAGAACTTAAGGATGTCCGTAAGTGTCCTGGAAAAGACAGCATTAATCAGGAATCCTGGACCTCTGTTGGAATCTGTAACTGTTGTTGCTCTGTGTGTTTTATTGCTATCACTCTGCTCCCAGGTGGTCACCCCATTTATAATACCCAGGGTCATTTAGAAAGCAGCCCTCTTTGTGGCACAGTTTGATTCCTGCTTATTTTGCTGTGCGTTCCTTCCATTTATTCTGTTCCTCCTACTCGACTCTTTCCCTTTGCCACTCCCACGTTTGCAACATCTCCTCGGTTTCCCATTTCCTTTACGAGTAATGTACATGAACTGCATCAAAGTGCTGAGATATCAAATTGGTCTGATTTCCAAGGAAAGGTTAAGGTCCCAGTAGTCCAGATACTTCCGTGTAAGAACGTCACAGCCATAAAAGGCTTAATCTGAGACTTTTTAATGAGGGGAATTCCTTTGTATGTGCAGAGGACTGGGGCAGAAAAATTAATATAGAAATGGATTGGATGCTTGGTTCTTCTGTAGAGCTTTAATTATTTTCCATGTTAGAATCTCCCTGAGGGTATTAGGGAGAGAAGATCTGTTCTTACTTTCTCTGGAAAGGTGGGCAGGACTTTCTGAAAGCCTGAAGAAGCAAAATTCACTCCAATCATTGTAACTCGCTGCCATTAGGGGTTGAAATGCAGCATTTGCCAGGAGTGCAAGTTCTTTATTTGATCCCTTTGACTGTACCAGTATAACTGCCAATCACAGGAAATACCTCTAATAACTCTTCCTTTTACTTAATAAGGAATACCACATCTTTAAAACATTAGAAACAGATGTCACTGCATTACTTCACTGCTGATGTATGTAATAGAAATGACACACTAATTAATTTAATGCAGTATAAACGTACTGATTATTTATCATGGCTGACAATAAAATTATGAAAACATTCAATTACAATCAGTGGTAATTCATTATTTATTGATTCTGCATTATGCACACGTTAATACAATACATTTAATCACCTAAGAGAAGGGATCATTTTTCTATTGATACTTAGACATTTAGATTCATCAGTTTTATGTAAAATCTTTGATGTTTAGGTGGGAAGTTTTAATCCACAATTCCAAAAAAACCTCAACTGAAATGTCAGAACTAAATTGAATTCAAGTGTCAAGTACAAGTGCGTCTAGAAAAATGTGGGCACTAAGAATGACAGACTAATTTCAGTCTCTTTCTCACGTCAGTGGCCTACATTAGTTAATATAATCATGGTTAGTCTTTGCCAAGTAATCCAAGGCATTAAACACTAACCCAGCAAAAAATTAATAATGTTTTTTCTTCCTTTTCAAGCCTTTACTCAGAATTAGCACCATCAGTGGTTTGCGTGCTCAGGATACAAGCTCAGAAATCACTGGGGCATGTTGAGAGCTTTAGACTGGGCCTGGGAAATCTCACTGTTAAGGACGAGGAGAATGTCATTGTCACTCGGGCTCCAGTCCGGTTGGAATTCAGCAAAAAGTGGTGTTTCACTTCATTATGACCAGGGTGCATTGCAAATACATCTTCCAATTATTTTTATCCTTCATTTTGGGCCTACAGTTACCTCTGACCCTCATAACTCCGTATTCACATTTATTCACTCACATTTATTTTAGGGACCACCAAAGTTCTCCACTAACAGGGAGCATCTTCTCACACAATCTACTCACATTGCACGTACCTATATGAAGTCTATAGAAAAAATTCTTTATATTAAAAAAATTCCACCAGGAATCTTTACACTGAATTCCTTTTTTTTTATTGCCTTGCCTCACGTTTGGCTACAGCAAACTGAGATGAAACACAAACATCACTATTGAACATTCCAGCCTTCTATAAGCAAAATTATTACTTTTAATTAATATCCTACTGCTGCTCACTTAGAAAGCTGTCATTAGTTTTTATCATTGTCTCCTCCTAGTCAATTGTGTCACCCATCATTTCCTCTCTGGGACCCCTGGGAACCAGGAGCCATGTTTATGCCAGCTGGCAAGAAGTGAATTCCAGAACGCTGTTGACTGGCCCTGCCTGGAATGGCTCTTCTCTCTTCTCCTGCATCAGGAAAGAGTTCTTTCCCATTTCCCTCCAACGGGGCATCTGCAATGATGACAAAACCAAACCCAAATAAATAGAACCTTTGCTTGACATTTCACCCTAGAAACACAGCCGACTTTCATACAGGATTAATACACCAATATTGCCATAGTTGCCAGTGTTAAGAAAACATTTTGCATACCAGCCTGAAAGGAACAAAAATACTGAAACTTCAGTTTTAAAGTAATATTCTAAAATATTTATTTCAGCTATAGGGAGGCTTAGTAGTTTGTACCCATTCAAATTACATCCTGCTGGACTCCATTCAAATAAACCATCTGGATACTTTATAACTGACAAGATATTACGGTATGATTGTTAGGCTTTAGTAACTTTGCCTTGTCTTTAACAAAATTACAGGGAAATAATAATATTCATGGATATAGTTGATTTGCACATGCTTAGTTGAACTGGACAGCTGCCTGGCATTAATTCTCAAACCTTGAGCATTTTCTAAGTTTCAGAGCAGTTCTTCTCTCCATGGACAGTCACCTCTCAAGGGTACTGCTTTTACTACAGCCTTTATGATTTTATATTGCTTCATGCCACTCCAACTTGCTGGGTGTTGATGCGCAAGGCTTCCTCTGGCCTTGCAAAAATTCAGGCTTATTTAGAAATATGTTTAGTTTATGGAAGATATTAAAGTCAAAAAGGAAAAAGAATTCTCGCAGTGGATTTTGATTGTCACATTAATCTCAAAAGAAAAAAAAAAAGTCCTTAAAAAGGCAGTGTTCGAATCTGATTTATTAGATCTCCTAATGGCAATTATGTCCAGAAAATTAACGCCCAAAAGTTTCTATTTGAAGCCAGTTATTTATTATTTCTATAATTCCTGGTATATAAAAATTGCAGATGAGTTCAGCATTCTGTTGTACCAAACACTTTGCCGAAGTAAATAGTCCCAGCCCCACAGAGCTTCCAATCTAAGGTTTGGATCCTAAACAGATGCATGAACTAGTTTTAAATATGAGCACTCCTATTGAAAGGCATTAATTTAACTTATGTGAAAATTCTTCCCTAGTTTCAGGCAGTCAGGTTATGGGCCTAAAACCAGTGGCCAGGCTTCTTAGAACAGACATGAAATCAATGGGGAGAAGGGGGGGTTCCTTCAGAGTGTAATTTAGATAATTTATGTTCACAAATATAGCAATTCACTTAGCACACAGTCATCTTCCCTCATTACTCATAATGCAAAAATATTCAACTTCGCAGAAAAGGTGCCTAAATAAGCAAGCCTGACAAAAGGAAGGAGAAGATGGAATCATGGAAATAGCTGAAATGCTCTGTTGGTATTGCTTGCTTGGAAAAGTTTTGTTTATACTTTACTGTTTGCTTTGTTTACTGAATGCCTTAGGAGAAAGCTAGAAAGAAAGGAGGGGAGTGAGAAAGTTAAAGGACTAGAAAAGAAGGAAAGATAAAAGAGTGAAAACCAGTGGAAACAAACAGAAGGTAAGAGGAACAAAGGAAGAAAGGGAAAAGCTTAAAAGAGATGTAATGTACGTACACCGGGAGAGGGTAATAAGCAAATAACCAATGTAGCCAGCGTGTCCTGGCTGCTGCGGGGTGTGATTCTGTCACTCGACTCCTTTCTATAGAATTTGTCTGACCATCTTTCGACTCCACTTGTTCGGGGAGAAGGGGCGCACGAGTCTTGGCAGTTCTTGTGGCAACCGACCTGGTGCAGGTGGGGGAGACACAGGATCCTCCCGGCTCCCGGGACAGCAGGGTTTTACTGAGGTACCAGACGGTGCTTCTGGTGCACAGTCGGGCGTGAGGAGCGGTCCGAGGCCATTGTGTCTAAACCACAACTGATGCCGCATCGAGCCTGGAAATATCAAGGCAGTTACATCTCAGACCTCCTGAGAACGGGCTTTGCCTCGTGCGAGTGATCACAAACTTCCTCATCTCTCACAGCTCTCTCCCTCCGTCCTGCCTGTGCCCCTCTCAGGAGGGGCTCAGCTCTAGACCTGACTCAGTTGGCTTTAGACCCGACTCATTTCGCTGCACACCGACCCCCCCGCGCTGTGTGCCGCTACCCCGCTGCCCCGCCCGGCCCGGAGCTCTGCGCGGAGCTGCCGTGCCCGTCAGCCCGGACGGGTCCGACGTGTCCCGTCCCAAAGGCAGCCTCGCACCGGCACCCCCGCTCCCCACTGCGGCGGGGCACAGGTGTCTGAGCACTCGGGAACGGGCCAGAGCGCAGCGACCGCTCCAGCCCCCGGGGGGAAGGGACCGCTCCCTTCCCCTCCTTCAGAGCGCGGGGGAGCGGGACCCCCTTGCTGTCCGGGGAGCCCCGCGGGACCCCCTCGCATCCCGGGCAGCGGGACCCCCTCGCATCCCGGGCAGCGGGACCCCCTCAAAGCCCGGGAAACGGGACCCCTCCTCGTCCGGGGGAGCCCCGCGGGACCCTCTCGCAGCGCGGGGAGCGCCCACGGAAACTTTGCCCCGAGTTGCGGGTCGCGGCGCCGCCGCCGGGGCTCCCCGCACGCCCCCGCCCCAGGTGCGGGCCGGCGCTGCCCCGCCCCGCCCGCGCCCGCAGCCACTGGCGGCGGCGGTGCCGGCGGCGGGCGGGGCGCATTGGCTGGAGGGCGCCGTCAGTCTCCCCCGGCGGCGCTGGGGAGGGGTCTGGGCGCTGCGTGCGGGCGGCTCGGCGGCTCCGCGCGGAGCGCAGCGCGGGGCTGAAGCAGCCGCGGGAGCCGCGCCGGCCATGGCGGTGTCCGCGCCGCCCGTCATCGCCGCCACTTCCAGCGGCGGCGGCGCGGGGGGCTCGGCGGGCTTGTTCCGGGCGGACCCGCTGTACTCCAGCCCCGCGGAGTCCCCGCGTCTCACCAACAGCCTCGTCAACACTTTCCTCTCGGCCGGCGGCGGCGGGGCCGGCGCGGGCGGCGGCGGCGGCGGCGGCAACGAGTGTAAGATGGTCGACCTGCACGGGGTGAAGGTGGCCTCGTTCCTCGTGGAGGGGCAGGAGCTGATCTGCCTGCCGCAGGTCTTTGATCTCTTCCTCAAGCACCTGGTGGGAGGGCTGCACACGGTCTACACGAAGCTGAAGCGCCTGGATATATCGCCCGTGGTGTGCACGGTGGAGCAGGTCCGCATCCTGCGCGGGCTGGGGGCCATCCAGCCCGGCGTCAACCGCTGCAAGCTCATCACCAGGAAGGACTTCGAAACTTTGTACAACGACTGCACCAACGCGAGGTGAGCGCACGCCCCGCGGCGCTGGGGTCGTGTGAGGGGTGCGGGGGCACCGGGGGGATGCGGGGGAGCGGGGCCGGGGGCGGCGGGGCCGGCGTGGAAAACTTTCCCGGCTTCCCGGAGCCCCGCGGTGCCGGGAGCGCCGGGCAGCGGAGCGGCTCCGCGCTGGGCTCCAAACTTTTCCCCAGGGGTAGTTCCTGAAGGCAACTCCTCGAGAAAAACAAAGCGGAAAGTTTTCTCCCCTGTTTTTCCCCCTCTGGAACTCGCGGCTCTGCCCGGGACCCGTCGCTCGGCGGTGCCCCGGGCAGGGCTGGAACCGCTCGGTCCGAGCTCCGGAGCGGCCGCAGCCCCGGCCCTGCCGAGCCCGGAGATCCCCGCTGGGTCCTGCAGAGCCGGGGTTACAGTCCTGGGCTGTGACCTCGCGGCTGCTGCCTTTAGAAATGATAATGATCTAAATAAACACAAAACCCTCTCGGGGCTCCGTGGAAACGCTGGTGCCGTGGGGCAGAGTGGAAGGCAGGGAGTTTGGGGATGACATTCCCTGGTTCAGCAGTTGGCGAGGGACTTCCTCGGAAACATTTCCCTGCCAGCGTGCTCCTGCTTTCTGTGGCAGCAAACTTTCTGTGCAGAGCTTTCAGAGAGCTTTGGGTGCGATATCCGACCTGCAGCGTGCAAATCTTCAGTAACTTTGGGGTTTATGTCACGAATTGCTCAGCACTGAACGTGGGTGTTTTTTAATAACAACTTGATATCGTGCTAATTTGGGGCCTGATCCTGCTCTCGCCGCTGTGAGCCGAAGTAGGAGCAGACTGGGCGTCCGTTTTTCATTGCAGCGTTTCCTTTGTTTCAAATAATTTTATATTACAGGTGTCGTTTTAGAGATGCACTTAATTGCTAGATATATTAATACGAACTATGTGTTTCTTTTCTTGCTCCTGTTCTGTTTCTGTAACTCCTTCTCCCGCTGCCCATTTCAATGTCAGGCACCTCGGTGACATCACAACCTACTGCTTTATTCAAGTGATGGGTTTATAAGTAAGCTCTGAGACTTCAATTAATATTATTCAAATACATTTAATTACTCAGGGACACGTTTAACATGTAAATGCTTCTCTGAAATGTTTCTGAAACTCGACTAGCACGAAAGCTGACGATTAAAGAAGCACATCGCCTTGATTTCTGCGATCATGCTAAAGTTTTCCCTCAGGGAAGTACAGGATCTGATTTGATGATACAGCCTGTAGATACAATCTGATGGTTTCTTCTCTCCTTACAACCAGTGATTTAAGATCTGGAAATGCTGAAGTGGTAAATATTTAAAACCTGTGTTTCACAACTCTTGGGTTTTTTTCCCCTCTGACGAAGACTTATGGCTGTGATAGGATGAGGGAATAGGTAAGGCAGGGAGCAGTGGGGAGGGAGGCAGGTGAGGAGCCAAGGGATGCTCTAGGGGGTCTGAAAGGAGCAGTCAGTGGAACAGAGCCCAGGCCAAAGGCTGGAGATAAGGCAGGAGGAGCGTGAGGCGGCTCTACCAGGGAAGGGACGTGTCTGAGCGGAGCCAGAGCTCTCAGCTGAGGAACACACGTGTTGAATGTGCTTAAGCACAAGCTCTCCCTGCCCTGTTTTGAAAACACTGTATTTTTACCTGTTCAAGAAAAACAAATCCTGGTGCATTTCCCCAAATATTTACTGAAACCGTCACTCAGCCTTTGTTTAAGTCTCATGGAAGCGCCACTGGTTCCAGGAACCTGCTGATACCCATGTGTTTTGCATTCAGTGTTTCAGGTGTGAAGCACGAGGAGTGTTACCAGCACACCTGAAGCTTCGCTCAGGGCTTGTGACTTAACGTTAATTGTGTTCCATCATGCTAATTGAATGCTTTTCATACGTCATTTTACTTACAGATTATTATTTCCCCTTGATCAGTCCATACTTACTGGAGAGAATGGTGGATAAAAACAGCTAAATGCACGAGTAATCTAATTATTTGTGTTTGCTGTGAAGTGACCTGGGAAGCACTGCAGTGTTACCAAACAAATCAGATGTGGTAGAACTGTTAAAGCCGTGCACACAGGACTTAGTTCTGTACCTGGAAAGTAAACACTTGGAAAAATGTGATCTTCAGAAGCATTACTTTCAACTAGGAATATTGTGTTGCTTTGGTAATAAATATTTTTTTAATTTCTGAGGATTTGTATGTATGTATTTGGATACTGTAGAAATAGTGCATTAAACTCACGAGCTGCCAGAAAAAGCATTATTTTCACTATTAGTTGACTTCTAAAAGTCAGCATGTCTTACGTTAGTGTACACTTGTGGCTTTTTTTTAATTGGAATGCAAACCGTCAATTATGTATAACTGAAAAAAAGAGAAGTTCTGTTTCCCCTGCTTAGTCTATTGCCCCTTTTTTTTTTTAATTGAGTTTGTCTGCAGAGAAATACCCCCATCAGCGAAAGTTGTTTGGAGTGTTTGTGTTCTGTGTGTAACAGCAGTTACCTGTATCCAGCAGCTTTGACCTGAGTGATTTTTTAGTACGTTCACATTTACTGTTTAATTTTTCATTCACGTGTAAACAAAATGTTACTACAATGTTTAGCCATCATCATGCAGTCTAATTGGGAAGCAAGGCTTGTAAAACTGAAACTAACTGTTCATTTCATTCCAGGTCGTACCTTCCAGTGAGTAGTGAGTACAACATCTTGACAAAATCTGGCTCCTGACTGGCAATACCTTACAAGATTACTTAAATTAGGGACACATGCTTAAATTTGGTAGTAAAGCATAACATTTCCTTAAAACAAAAAAACTATAATGGGGGTTTATTTAAAAGTGAGATTTAAAACTGTAGTGAGAACATACTTATGATTATAAATATGTCAGTCCTTAAAAATAGGATTATATGAGTACGATCATCATGTCTTCTACAGGGTTCTGTATTTGGTGGATGCTGCTGGCCACTGAAAAAGCATAATGTTGGTCTGGATTATTCAGTGGATAGTCAGAATACTTTCCAGAAAACAGCATTTCAGTGCATGGTGTATTTTTTATGATTTAAAGTATCCAGTTATGCTAATATTTCGTACTGCTTTGGCTATTCACAAGCAATAAAAGGCTTTAGGAATTAATTTAAGCAGTAAATGCAGACATTTTATTTTATGAGATTAGGAGGGTCTAGTCATGTTGTCTATTAAAAGGTACCTTATAGTCAGCAATACTCTGTCTTTTATTAGGAGACTGATGTCAAGATTATAATTAAAGCAATCCGGCCGTGCAGCTCTGCACAGAGCTTCCTGTATATTGATAGTTGTTGTGGACATCTGATTATACATAAACTTCTTTGACTAAGTAAATATTTAGCACGCATTCAGACTTGGCCAAACTTGTGAATTTTGGAGGTGCTAGCATTTTAAAATAAATAAAGCTCAGTTGCTCGGTTTCCTTCTCTTCCTTGGAGAGGAGGCTCCCTTCACATACTCTGGAGGGAGATCAGTAGCATAGTGGATTCTGCTTGAGGTGCAGAAAGGAATTTTCCCATTTTCTGAGCAGAGTAGTCACACTTTTGGAAAAATCCCTCTTTCTTTCTGGACACCTTGAAAGTCTGTGCTTGTTCAAAACTCCTAAAATGCTTGAATATTTTCATCAGATGCATATCTAATGTGGAGAACCCTTGATTAAAATTCCCTTCTTTCTTCGTAGCACTAGAGCTCTCCCCATTTGAAGTGTAACTTGCTTTTCCTCTAAAATGGAGTATTTGTGTGTTTCCTGCATGTGGATATGCATAATACATATGTAATTTTCTACTGAGACTTCTACAACTGAAAAATACTGTGTTTTTGTAGCAAAGACAAAAAAGCTAAACAATTAGGTATTAATGATATTCTTGTTGCATATTCAAAAGGTCTTTGCAAGCATTTCTTCTCCTTTTTTTCTTTTCACCATTTCAACCTGCAGAACTCTTCACTGTCACTTCAAATCACACAATTCTACGAAGATAAAACAACATTTAAACTCATTTGCTTTGGGAGGAAAATTGAGCATTTGCACCCAATAAGCCTGATTGTGGAACTGCATGCAAATTGTGTTTTGATTTATCTCTTTTGCACTTTTTTCCATTTGAATTGATCTTGCATTAATTTTGCCAAGCGGCTCTGTGAGGCTGCAGATGTTGCCCTGTGTTTAATAAATCAATGAGACAGATCTGAATGAATCACTTCAGATGGATTCTCTGCTCGGTTTGATGTCTAGATGTTATTCTTAGCTTGTTATCATGACAGATGCATTAATGTTCCCATACACTGCCAGCAATGTCAAAGAGATTGAAGCTTTTAAAGTGGCGGTATCCCCTTTTCCCCTTCTGTTGGAATAACTAAATTGCCTTTAGGAATAGGTCAAAATATAAATTTGATCGTGGCATCATTGTGGGGGAAGATGCTAAACTTCTCATCGTATTCTAACACAAAGTCAGGCAAATGCAGGTTCTTAGAGAATGATTAATTATTCCCAAATAGTGGAGATCAATATTAAAATCTAAACATAGGATAGCTCCTTAATAGAGTAACCACTTTCTCAGCATTAATATTTCATTGTAATAGGAATGATCCGAATAAATAATATAAGACTAGAACATGTTAAAAGTGTTGCTATAAATAGAATATCATTGTGTCCAAATTGATTACAGGCTGAAGTAAGGCTTTTTCTCTTTTTTTTTTGGTTGATTTTTTTTTACCTCATTAATAATTTTCTTTTAAAGCTAAATACGTCTGGATTCAACATCTGTTAGATTTGAAGTACTTATTTATTATGTTTCTGTTCCTACTTAACATTTAAGGGCAGATATGTTAGAAAAGTTGCTGATCACCGTTAATTTTGGATCGGTTCAGTCTGGTATCCATTATCATGGAGCAGAACCTGTGGAGCACAAATCATAAAGAAGGCTGGAATGTGTCTTTGTGGAACAGTTTTAAATTCTAGGAAACATTGCACAAAGTGTAAAGGACTCTGC